GGCAGATTTTCAGCCGCGATGGACATCTCTGGTAGGAGCTACTTCAGCTGCAGGAGTTCTTTCTGGATCAGAATGAAGCAAATATACCTTCACTATAACATTGACGATTATCATATAAATATTGTATAAATGAACGATCACCATGTAAATAATAAAAATCATTAGAATATGTAAAATTTTCTGAACGAAATGGTATTGACATATTTAGAATAATTTCAGCTACATTTGATTGATCCCACCAAGTTGAATCTTCAATAAATTGATAAGAATCATATTGAATTATATTTTTTATTTCTAATAATGAAATAAAATTTATTAAAATTTTTTCACAATCAATTAAATTTGTTTTAATTAAATCTTCAGAATTAACAATTGTTAAATTAATAGATATGAAATAATTTAAAAAATATTTTATATTATAATTAGCTTGTTTAATAAGATTTTCTTTTAAAATAAATTTGATTTATATGTTTTTTATTAATTTTTACTATTTTATTTGAACATTGTGATTTAACAGCTAAATTAGCTGATAGAGACATAATATAAATTTGAATAAACATATCGTTTGTTAAATTCATAGAAAAATAATTTTCTTGAATAATATAACAATCTTGATTTAATCGAGTAATTTTAATATTTGCTAATTTTCGTATTATTATCCATTGAATATATTTCATTATGCCAGTACCATCATAAGTCCATACGAAACTACTTATCTGTGTAGAATTTGAACAATGATATGTTGTAGATAATCGTTGATTGTCAGAAATCCATTCAAAACAAGATGAATCAAATGATTTTTGAAGAACAGATGATGATAAACGATGAAACTCGAGAGGAATACCAATAGATAAACAGATTAGTAATAATATTAAACCAAAAGCTACATGATTAGTTGAAAATGTCACCTAAAATCATAGAAGTTTATTTTGCTTATAGATATTTACAATCAAACATTATCTTTCTCTAGCTAAAAATGGATATAAAAAATGACAAGGAAACAATGATGGTATATAACAAATCTTGTTTTCATAAGATTTTGAAAGAACTAGACTGGATTTACTGGTAGGCGCCCATTGAATGAAATCACTGACCATTGTGGGCTTTGGTATCAGTCGAAAATGTTTGTAAAAATAATATTCCTATATATAGTTTTGTAGCACTTTTCACGGGTTATACTCAGCATCTCCGATCGTTCTATCTTTGATAGGAAAAAATGCGACTTTTCGATGATTCATCATTGTTTTTCAATCTATGGGCGTCTACCGGCTGGTTCCCTCAAAATCTTATGAAAACAAGATTTGTTATATATCATTAGACGCGTCTCGACTTGCTCTACAAAATGGTGTCTTTGGTCTTTTTAATCCTGGATAAATTACCAAAACCAGCATGGTTCTTTTTAAAATTCTCAGAGCTTTTTAATCTCCCTAGTACTTATTGTTTGATAAATGAATCTCTGAAATTGTTATCATTATTAACAATAAAAGAAGGCAAACAAATCTACTCCATAACTTCAGAGATCAGATACTTGACAAAGAAATTACAAGCTAAACTTAATTTATCCCCTTAAAACAAAAATAAAATCATTTCGTCGACAGTGACACTCAATAGAAAGAGATTCTTCCGTTTGCTGTTATGTTACTATTTCACTGATGTCTTTAATTTATTAAATGGAATAAACAATCTTTCATAATTATATGAAGGTGTGAGCAAAGAGAAGTCTAACATCTATACTAATAAATCATGCCACATGAATTGAATTGCGAACTCATGGCAAGATATCTCTATTTGATTCTCATCATGTTCACATAGTATATAGTACTCTGAATGGAAACTACAACTTTTAGCAATTACATTCAATGATATTATTCACTTTGACGTACATCAGCATAATCAACGTCGTTGTTATAAAACCCATTGTTGTTGTTGTTGCGTTGAGTATTACGAGATGTAGACATTTTTCTTTCTGAATACTTCACATAAACGGTAGTGAATGAAAGTTAATGTTTCACCAAGTAAAGAACAGTCACATGGGGGTGCATTGTGCAATTTGTTTTTTCACTGTTCTGTGAGTCTCCATCATAAAATTCTTTCGGACACTATCGATTTTCTCTATGCTCGAGAGATTTCTTTTTAACCGATGTTAATTTAGTCATACGCTAGAATCTCTCAAATTATGAATAGTATTCGAGCTGTAATGTAGCATATCAATATGTTTCATGATCAAGTGATTTTTCGTAGAATGCAAATGCTTATTCTCTTTGATTAATTCATACAATAGAATGTAGAGAAAAAGCATTCTATCGGTGGTTAAAATATCAAACAGACTTTTTAGGATCTTTTGAACAAACAATATGAAGAATACCATTGGCAAAATATCGATCGATTAGTTAACTACTTGGTTGGAGTGTAGAGTAACTGAAACACGGTAGAAATTCAATGACTTATTTTGTTTCTCCATATGATTGATGAAAACAGAAGAAAAAAGATGAATGATCGAATGGAACTAATATTTGTACATATTCCAAATAGAAGATAGTACAAACTGTTCCAAGAATTCTTTTTTTTTTTTAGTTCTTTCAGGTAATGATCTTATGATTCCACAATCAGTAACTGAAAGAACGCCAAAAAAAAACATTCTTCGTATACCACTACTATTCTACAGATAATTAAAAGTAAAAATAAATTATACTCCTCAGCAGGGAATCGAATGAATAATTTTATTTTATGATTCATTCAGATTGCTGTGAAAATGCACTTCTACAACCATTTTATTTCAAATACAGACGTTGTACTTTCTTAGAATTTTCATGTAAAGCAGAAATGGACACAAAATATTTATCTAAAAATTGTTGCTTTAATATTATTCTCAGATTTTTATCCTTTGAAAACTAAACCTTAAAAAAAGTTAACTGTCAAAAAACGCGTTCTTAATATTGACAACTTCTGCTTATAGAAGAGTTAATAGTGTGTGATATAGTTAGTGTAATAAGAGGATCAAGGTGCACCTACTCACACTCTATTACTATACTCAAGCAAAAAAAAAAGGCATACTATTTTTGAGTTTATGTTCAAAACAGATTATAAAATCTTTACATTAATCTCATCTATTTGAAATCGTCTGAAATGCTGTGTTTTACATAATTGATTATCTTCGTTTATTCATTATCAGTGTATTGAATGTAATTTTCAAACATCATGTCAACGTAATCTTAAAGTCAAAAATAAATCATCAGATACAACAAACTTGACGCATATGATTTTTTTAATTTTAATCTCGCGTTTATCAATTTTTATTTCTATTTGAGTCAATCTTGATATTTAAGGGAAGTTTCTCGCTAATTTTTCTTTTAAAGAACATACCATAAATTTGGCAAGCAGTCGATACCTTCTTCTTTTCTAAAATCAATATTAATTAGTAACCAATAATTGATAACAAACTGCGCGGTAAAAATCCGATTTTGTACGATGAGTACAATACTACTCTGTGTTATTGTAACGTATGCAACATGGAATAATCACTCGACTTTGACAACATTTCCACTAGTTAAACCGAACTGGTTCAACTGCTCTATCCTTTTCAGTGAGGTCGGTATATTCAATGTATGTTTATTTGTAAATGTGCCCATCGATATACACGTGTACGTTGACCTAAATGAAAAATATTATTTTGTCTCTTTCGGTTTGTTTTTTCAATCCTATCTATGACTGTTTCTTCGTAGAGTCTAATAGAGACTGTGACTCATCTCTTTCATGAATCATACTCATGATTGATGCCGACGTACACAATGTCATTCCTAATTTTTCAGAAGAAAAGAATAAAGCAAAATTATTCAAGCAATATGAATCACGAATACACATAATGTGCTACAATTTGAACAGTATATAAAGTATTTTATCGCTACAGAATAGAAATAACCAAGAATAAGTATACGACCTCAATCCAACAATTTTCTCTCATAATGGTAACACAAAACTACCAACAAAATTTGCCATTCAATGAAGCTTTTGATAGCTTCTCATCACCTCACCAACCATCGCATCATGCAGTTGATATCAATCGATCTTGTCAAAGTGAGTTTTAATAAACCTTGATGATTATATAGGTTTGTGAGTGTTGAATTTTCGAATGTCAATCACAACAAATAATCTCGAATAAGAATTTACCCTGCTTCTTAGCATCTAATTTTCAACAAATATCATGCATATATGCTTCTAGTTTTCTCGCACACAGTTCAAGATTTCAATCAAATTGAAAATGATTCAAGTATCTGTATAATCAAAAAACAAAAGAATCCTGTATCAGTACATGGCGCATTAAACGTAATCACGTTGATTTCAGTTGAAAACGCTTTTTCTTAAATTAGATAATTGAAATTCACACAAAAATAGTCCATATACTTTTCTTCTTTAGTTAGCACATTTTCGGAATCGTGTTTACCACAGTCAACTCTAAATCAACAACAATTAAAATCGTCTTCAACAATACTTGAATCTCAAATGTTACAATTATATGATGACCAGTCTAACAATAGAATATCATTACCATCACAAACTCGAGAATGTAGTGTATGTTCAAGTGAGAAACCATATAGTGAATTTTTAGGAAACTACAGTGATGCATGTCTTCATATTGAACGAACTGTATGTGATTCATGTGTATATGAAAATACGAAATTTCTTGTCGAAAACACCAGTGTCTATGATGAACAACTCATCTGTCCTGAACAAAATTGTAATGCAACATTCGATTTTTATGCAATTCGAGGTATTCTTCTTGCAACAGGCAAAAGTCATATAGTATTCGAAAAATACGATAAAAATTTGATCTATCGACGTCTCGAAGAGATGACTGAATTTGTTTGGTGTGCACATGAATGTGGCTCTGGTCAATTACATGATCTCCAAGGATCTTCGAGTCCTGAAGTCATATGTATAAAATGCCAACTACGAACATGTTTCACACATCGTACCATTTGGCATACAGGTATGACATGTGCTGAGTATGATCTTCAACAAAGTCAATTACCTGATGATGGTACTTGTGCATGGCTTGATCAAAACACTAAAAGATGTCCTCAGTGTCGATGGTATATTGAGAAGAATTCCGGATGCAATGAAATGAAATGTCGTCGCTGTCAACATAAGTTTTGTTGGGAATGTCAAGCTGATTACAAAATTATTTCACGTGAAGGCAAAAGTAATCATCGATCATGGTGCAGTCATTATAAGGTAAATAATAAAAAATACGAAGATTGAGATATTTTCAATTGATATAGACATGGTTACATCATAGTTTACTTTGTTTTAGCCAAAGCCTGCTGATGCGTCCAATCAACAGCAGACTCAGCGATGGTGTAATGTTCAATAAGCGTATTAGTTCAATTTTATCAACATTGTTTTCAATGAATATATGAATAGTTTTGCTTTTTTTTTTTATAAATTCATCACGTTTGTTTATCGATATCTATAATACATATATTGACGACGGAAATGAAATTCACATGAATCTATTGCTGAATAACTCAAATAAAGATCTTCTAGCCAGAAAATAAGACAATCATTCGTTAGTTCGACAAAACGAGCATCGAGTCATAATATTATTTGTCAAGAGAAGAGAATTCGAACAAATATTGACGATAGTTCTACGACAATGTACTATGGTCAATGGAATGATCAAATAAATGGCTACATAGAGATGTATATAGTTTGGCATAGATTAAAACGTGAATTAGGTCTTTTCTCACTCACAAGTACACAGAGCTATACGCCACATTTTTCATGCGAACTGCATCTAATTAATTTAGACCCGATATTGTTGAAATTGTAGTAAATTTTTCTGTTACTATCAACATTAGTTTCAATAGGTATTAAAAAGCTTGTTCTATTTTCTATACAAAAAAAAACATAAAAGTTGTCAATTTTGGGTAAATTGAGATATCCGAATTTCTCAGTAGGTAAGGCTAAGCTTTTCAAAAAAGAAATAACTGTCGTGAGCTCTCATGTTCTAGCATTTTATCGAAATAGAAAAACTATTAATCAATCAATTTAGTAGTACACATTTTGTAAGTCTATTATCAAAATAAACTATCTTTTGATGCTAATATGGCAAGTTCGATTAAGAGTATGTTGAGAGAATATACAAAAATAGTGATAAGATTTTGATTCATCTCTATTCTGTCGTATATTACATCATACATAAATATGTGATTTTTACATGTTTCGACTTATTGGAGGTATATTTGAAAAGCTTTTTTTTCTATAGTTTTTGCCATTATAATTACCGAAATGGATCGCTTACTTTTAGAAAAAAAAATACTAAATATGTAGAACACAATATTCCATCAAGTAATAAAGAAGCTTATCAATATGACTCCGTGGATTTTTATTCTCTAAAACAAAATCAGACGACTACTGATTTCAGTTAACTACATACTACATGACCAAAAAGTCACTATCCTAGGTATTTATTAGAAGATCTTTCTTCATTGGATGAACGCATCAGACAAGATCTTTTTTTGTTTATTCAAAATACTTCGTCATATGTAATGGCAATAGAATTAGCTTTAGCCTTTCGATAAATAGGATCAATAAATTGAGTATTCTCTGTTTGTACATAAACTCTACATATATTATAGAGTGAAGCTCTCTCTATAGCATGATTTTTGATATAACTATTTATAGTTTCATCATTGAAATACGATATAGAATCAGGATCTATGTTTAAGACTACACTATCATAATTTCATCATTCTTTGTAATTTCAAATAATCTATTTAAATTTTTAGTAGAACATAAATTCGAACAAAAATAACAAATGCACTCTCGTTCGTAAAATTATTTTTCATATGTTTAATAAATTGTTCTAAAATATTAGAAGTCTTCACTTTAGAGCCTACAGCTTGCAATAATTTTCCTGCTCTACTACGAGTCTCTGAAACTTCATATGAACTTAATATCCAATGTAATATTTTTGGATTTGATATATAGGACCATATCGAAATAAATAAATTATAACAGCATCCAGAAAAAAACCTCATAATCATTAGGATATAAGTCAGTAACTCTATTTAATTCATATAAAACATTATCAGCACGATGAAAATTCTTAATAATTTTGTCTTCAATGAAATAGATCAAATTTTGCTGCTTCTTCTAAAGAATAGGGCATAGAATCTATAATATTATCTATCCACCAACCAATAGCTAAAATAAACTGTTCTTCCCATTTTCTTATCGGTACGACGTACAAATTCTCGAATGACATTAACACTTGTTGAACTGGTGATTAGATTGCAAATTGTGCCGCATACAGTCAATCGATATTGGTCTTCTAGCATAGAAAATATTTTAATTAACACATTATTTTTAAGATTATCGATAGTAAATAGTACTCTGTATTTTAGATCATCATCGATGAGATTTTTCAATCATTTTTCACCCCAGTACAAATTCGAAGTAAAAATAATGTTTCTAAATATCGACCAATATGATCTAATATTCTGTCTGCAATTTTTCGATGTTCTTTTTCTATTAATTTCTTCTAAACATCCTATTAAATGTCTGGCACCAATAAGATCCTCTGGATCATCTCTTCAATCAAATCAAAGAATATTTCAATATAATTTTTAGTTAAAATATTTGCAGTAAAATGTCAATGAGAATCATATTTATAATTTCTTAGAAAAATTTTAGCTTTATTAGGATAACTTTCGAACCTTATTTCTTAAATATCTTGCAATTAAAAATTCTTGAAAACTAAGATGAATAAAATAATAATCTTTCTCTTATATTTAATGCTGATTGTAAAAATGATATTAATCTTGTACTTTCATTTGGTTTTGTTTTAAAAAACTTTTTAATATAATCATAAATATTCTCATCAGTAAATCCGGTTATTTCGAGATATACATCGTATAGATAAGGTAACTGTTGCTATTGAACGTGATGTTAAAATTTCTATTTGTTTATTCAAGACTAAAACAAAAAAAAAAAATTTCAAGAAACTTTGAACAAAATTCTAGTAGTAACATGTATCTTACATTCTCTCATAAATCAATTCAAATGATCAGGAATGTTCAATTCATCATAACCATCTAAAAGCTTGCATCATCAAGCATATGCTTAAGAATATTTCTTTTTCATGATTTTCTAATTGATAAGTTCGAAAACATTCTCGTTCAATGATATTAGTTAAGTTATATGGTTCTGATGAACGTAATGGATACAATTTTGAAGTTAGATTTCTTAATCGGATATAAATTAAACATTTAAACTGCTGAAATAATTCATTTATGTGCAATATATTGACAAAATACCCGGAGGACCCAAAACTAAAGCACGTTTCGTCAATTTATCTCTACATTTATCGAAAAGTTCTGTAATTTTTACTAGAAATAAAGGAATAACCATCAAAAATTTTAGTTTAAATATATTTTACTAAAACAATAACCGGACAATAAGTAAATTTTTTATCTCTCAATCGAAAACCGTTCAGTTCAAGTGTTTGCATGATGACGAGTAGAAATGTAAGCCGTACAGCTAGACGGCCGTCACGAACGAAAATTTTTGATAATAGTCTAAGGCGCCGCCGCTGTTTGACCCTTCGGCTTACACCTCTAATGACGAGTTCTATTCTTCGTCAATCGTCAGTATATTACAATGTAATTTTTTAGAATAAGATTCATTTGATTCAAGTCTAGACGAAAGCATAATTGATATAATTTTTTTCATCAATTGATACAAATGTATTTGTCATTAATCGTTTTATTTTATCATATTTAGATGTATATTTATATTTTAATTTATTGATAATTCGTAACTTTTGTTCATTAATAATATTTTGTGATGATGAAGAATGAATATTAGTTAATGCAGCAACAATTTCCTTGTGACCTTTAATTACTGTATCAATTTTTTTTTTCTATTATAGTTACTTTATTATTGACATCAATAAGAATACCGAACGATGCGTCACTACCAGATCTATCAATTTCCTTATCAAGTCGTTCTAAATCTGCTTTAATCGATTTATAATAACGATAAATTCTTGATTTTTGCCAAAAACGTGAAAATATATTTGGACCGGTACATATACAAGAGTTTTGTGTATTTACCATCGGTACTTGCAAAACTTCTTCAGTATTTCGAACGATTGTAGACTTATGTTCTAATGGATCTTCGAGAGGTACTATTACATCATTTTTAACTTCAAGAGAAACTTCTAAAAATATGTTGAAGTTTACATAGGCGGAGAGTAACGGTTCTTTTCACATGGAAACTGAAATTTTGGCGAAGTACAACAGAGGTGGAACGTCATCCTGCTAAAAATGAGTGATTATTTTCTTTTATGGAATCTTTACAATGCAGCTGTGAATACTCGAAGAAATAAACTCTTCTTCAAAGAGTAAAATACTTTGTTGTTAGTGTGTGTTCTGGTACATTGTTTCATTTGTCAAAAATACATTATTAAAAATAATATAGGATATTATTTTATTAACTCTTTGACATTCGAATTTTTTTCTACTAAATCGAATTTGATGCAACTTGGATGATGAAGTTAAAACTCATTCATGAATTTGATTCAATGAAGAAATAAGTTTTTCTCTATGATTGAATATACTTTATCGATTCATAAGTCTTATTTCATAGCAATCGATCTAATTTTGATATTTTCAATATAGGACTAAATAATAACATTTTACATGAACTACAAATAATGAAATGATTTTAGAATTAGTCATGGAATATTCCTCTTTTATCAACCAAAAAATTGATTCGCTGCAACCTTTCATTAACTACAGATTTTAAATTCTTTCGAAATACAATTTACATAGATAACAAAGCAAAGCTAATTTAAGAAAAAGTTTATTATTTTATGAATGTAATCGAATATGACAATAGAAATTATATCATTCGATTCGTTTTGACACGAGCGAAAAGTCGATTTGTGTTCCTCCTCAGTACTTTTTTTGTTGTTGGTGTTTTGTATGTTATCGTAAGACTTAGAAACACATGAAAGTCAAATCATATTTGATCTATTCTCTACTGTCACACTTCTTCTAAGTGATTCATTAGTTATTTTCTCATCATTGAGTTATAGAAGAAATACAAAATTTTGCAACGTCTACGGCATATTTAATTATATTAATTTTGTGAAATTAAGTTTTGTAATCCATCGCATTGCTATATCTCTAATATTGAGGTTGAATTAAAAATTTTCAACAAACAAAACAATGAACAAATCGAAAGAATAAAATAAATTCTGAAACATTAAAAGAATTCATGGTCATAAGAAGAAATTGAAAAAGAAAAGAAAAACCATTTACCTTATCATTGTGATTGATTCACAATTATGAAGAAAAATAAACAGAGATGCACTCATCTATTGTCATTGACAACGAAAACTGTGTCCCGCTCTGTCAGGAACTCATTCAGAAAAAAAAGTCGCTCTTAAGCGTTTTACAAGAACGTATTCATGAACTTTTTATCATAGGAGATGTGGGTGTGAGTGTGGATGTAAATAGAGGTACAAGCCGTACAGCTGAGCCGCCGCCGCCACCACGGAATCGTAGATAATTTTAAGAAGTTTTTAGGCGCCACCGTCGTTGACATCAATACATATGCGATCGGTCATTTTTTCGTCTTTTAGGAGCAAAAATGTTTTTTTTGGTTATCAAAGCCGTTGCCGATGCAGAAAAACGTAAAGTATAGTAGGCGGCACCGCTATGGAAAAAGTCTACACCTCTAGATGTAGAGAAAAGCAGCACTCTACTCACACCTACACTCTTTTCATTTCGAATGCCATCAAGATAAACGAATTATTATACAGAATGAAGTAGTCAAGGAATGAAAAAAAAATTATTTTTCTTTGTTCTATGTGATACTTTATGCGATTAGATCTTTAAGGATGCGAAATATCATTCTGTTTGAATATTGTACCAAATGTTATTTTTCTTTAATCCTCAAACAGAGTCAATATATATTCAAGAAATACGTATCAATCAAGTAAATGTCAGTAACTTATCTACAATCGTTGATTTCTTATGTAAGCGATACTATAATACTTATCTTTCTTGTAATAACAAATGTTGATTATTTGTCATGTTCTTCAACGTATATCTGACATCATTATTTAATAAAAGCTTCTCAAAAGATAAATAGTTCGAGTAAAAGAACACAGAGCATACAGATACTTACTCTTCTCATTGTAAATTTTGACGAAGAGCAATTTTTGTTTTGTTATATTTACGAGCAAGACAAAATCGACACAATGATTGAAGTACTACAAATATTTTTCATATTGAATTTATGTTCAATAACTTTAGCTTGGTATTCTTGTCCATTTAATGATGGTTCATTTAATAAAACAATAGAAAACAACATGATTATTCAAGCTGAATGTATGTATTTGACTAGTCCACTCGAATGGAATGAATTCAATCCGAATACTTTTGATGGTTTTTACTACAATTCAACAAAATCCATTCCATTAACTGATCTACATATGAAACGTTTATTTTTATCTAATTTTCCACCACGAAATATTTCCAATGTCAAACACATTATCAATTATTGGCTTTTAAACGGTGGTGGTGGTTCTCAATATGGAATGGAAACATTTGGTATATCAATGTTAAAACAAATTATTCAAAATAAATATCATCAAACATATCCTCAGACACATTCAATAATGTATCTATTTCAATATAGAGGAGCAGGTTTGAGTAAACCATCAATTCATTGTTATACAGCAACAACATGGATTGATTGTGCCAAAGAATTAATTCAAACAACTGTACCAACTTCTGTTAATGAATCATTGAAAATAATCAATGCAATGACAAATCAAAATATTGCACAAGATTTACAATATCAAATTCAATATTCAATCAATCAATCACAATCAATATCAACTTATATCTATGGATTAAGTCAAGGTAAAAACTGAATATAATATTCTGATTAAGTTAAAAAGAGAAATTTTTTTGTAATGAACGAAGTTGTTCGCACCTCGAGAGACAAGCTACATGACAGAATTCTTCAAAAGTCATAATAGAATGCATAAAAAAAGCAGTTGCACTTAGGGGTGGCACTTTAACTTTACTATAAAGTTAAAGTTAAAGTATGTTACTTTAACTTTAACTTTAAAGTTTAAAGTATCCACTTTAAACTTTAAAGTTAAAGTAGATTTTTCCGCAAAAAATTATTTTTTTGCTAAAAAATTTTCTTTTCCTAAAAAAGTTGTTTTTTCATAAAAAAGTTATTTTTTCATAAAAAAATTACTTGTTTGCGAAAAAATTATTTTTTAGCAGAGGCAAATTTTTTTATAAAATAAAATGAGTTTTTTACAAAAAAAACAATATTTTTACGAAAAAATAATTTTTTTTGAAAAAATAACTTTTTTATGAAAAAATAACTTTTTTATGAAAAAATAACTTTTTTGATGAAAAAAATAATTTTTTAACAAGAAAAGTTTTTTTTACGAAAAAATATTTATTGCGAAAAAATCTACTTTAACTTTAAATTTTTTAAAGTTAAACATTAAAGTAAACTTGCTTTAACTTTAACTTTAAAGTTGAAAGTTGAAATATGCTACTTAAACTTTAACTTTAACCACTTTAACTTTTAAAGTTTAAAGTTAAAGTGCCACCCCTAGTTGCACTTTAATATTTCGACATTATCTCTCTCTTTCTCTGGTCATGGCTGAAACTTCGAGATTAGATAATCCTAAAACAACGTTGATTTTCGGAATTCATTTTTGTATACATTTGATATTCGTTTTATTTTACTTAGCGATGTAGATAGTTCATATTTCTTTTTAAATTAGGTACAGCCATTATTCAATACTATCTATCAATTCAATCAATTCATTCTCAATTACAGCCAATCAATGGAATAATTCTCGATGGAATAATGTCAATAAAAAAATCTGATGCATTTCAAAATCAAATGAAATCAATTAACAATCGATTTTATTTGTATTTATCTAAATGTCAAAATGATATATTATGTGCAACCGCTTTCAAACGTGTTACTAATACTAATGAAGATATTATAACTGTTACATTAACATTACAAATGTTTTTTTTGACTAATATGACAAATCCTATGTGTACAATTAATTTAGGATTGAATAATTGGAATTTATTTACTCTTATTGCTAGTCAAAGTATTGAACTTATTTCTGTTCGTCCACTTGCTGCAATACTTATTGCACGTCTATATCGTTGTTCAATTGAAGATCAACGAGTTTTATCTCGAACATTACCAATTTTAATTGCTTTAGCAGAACGATCGCTAACATCAAGTTTAGTCGATCCACCGAGTGTATATCCAGATGATGGAAATGTTTTAAGTATAACAACAATCTGGAGTGATTTTGTTGGTTTTACATTAGAAGAAAATTTTAAAACTGATCCTAATTTTTTTAATGATTTTTGTATTAATAGTGATGTTACTAATGAATATTATTTAGCGCCAACAGGTCCAATGCCAGTATGTCGTGAAACACAACAATCGAAATATAATTATACTATTCCGTCTGTATTTACAGATATTTTATATACGAAAGATTCTCGATATTGGGGACAATTTCAAGTTAATTCACAAATATTTCGATCAAGTGAAGGTGGTGTATTATTATTGAATGGAGATTTAGATTATAATTCACCAATGTATACAGCACAACAAACTCAAAAATGGTTTCAATCTGAAAATATTCGTACAAAATTAATCGAAATGAAAGATTTAACTCATGTTACTAGTGTACAATCATATACTAAAAAAGGTGGATTTCAATCAACAACATGTACAGATCAGATTATTGTTCAATTATTGTATCAACAAGAATTAAATTTAGATTTAGACACGATAGATTATACATGTAGTTTAAAAGAAAATTTAATTGGTATTGATTGGATGTATTCGAATTCTATTGTAAATCAAACATTATATACATTATTTGGTAATTCCACAAGAGATTATTGGGGAATAAATATCACGTCTGATTGATTTTATTATGAAGACATATTCTTGATGTTATTGGTAATACTGTTGCTTTGTATGTCAATGTAAAATTGACGAAATTAAATAAAATATTGACTAAACAATATTTTTG